CTGAGTTATTTCTTTTCTCTTACTCATATGTTCCTATTCTATATATAAATCTTTCTCCTGGATCATTTCACACTCCTTAATGGCTTGCCTATGGCTTGTCTATGCTTTGCATTTTCTGAACCTCACACAGACACAGTGCCCAGTCCAGAGTGAACTAGACAATTATACCCATGGCTTGGTCCATTCTGTTTCTTTGCTTGATAACACCGGGTCAGTGAAAGGATGCAGACAGGCTGGTCTTCTAGCTTTTCTCTCATCCCTGTTTGCTTTTCCCTTCTATAAGATGCAGCCCTTTATAAAGACAGACATGTATTCTCCCTTCCTCTCCTCTGTGTGATGGGGGTCTGCCCATACAGGCTGGTGATTAGATACTAGCTGAAGGGAAGAAAGGCTATGATCCCAAGCTAAATGTCACAGCTTACAAGAAAGCTCTATACTTGAATTCAAGGTAGTAACCAAGCCAACAATGGAGTGGAGTCTTGTTTCCCAATAGCCATTGTCTTGTGTTTATACAAAGAATATTATGAGAAGACTAAGGCAGGATTTAGAATTATCTGATGTCCCTGGTCTTGACATCATCCTATCAGCACCAGAATCTCAGTGTAATCTGCTAATATTCTTGCTACTAAAAATGCCTTGAATGCTTATACAGAAAGAAACAAGGTTGACTCATCTTCACAGGATTCCACCTGTTAGATCCTTGCCAGTTTTTGTACATTTTGGTCTCATATTCTAAACTGCCACTTAGTCAGTGGTTGAGTTCTCCTCAATTTACCGTAGACTTATCATCTCTAATAACATCTGTTAGCGATGGTAACTTTTTCTCCTAGACTCATTCTGCTCCAGGAAAACTGATACTTTAAAAAATATCCTGAGGGATAGATAAAACTTAGGAGGTGTAAAAAGCCAGAGGGAAATGTATTAACTCAATAACCCCCCCCCCAAAAACACATATAATATCTGAACAGGTGTGCATGTGTACACCCGAAGGCTACATAATGCCAGATAGGAGAAACCTCCCTTCCAGTTGTTGGTCAGAATAGTCCAGGAGGTAGCCCAAAATAACACAGGGTATTGCTAGGGTCTTTGATTGCTTTTGAGAGCTTGAAGGTAACACCCTATTTCTGAAGATAGGACATACTTTGGACACAGGACTTGGAGCAGTGGAGCTGGAACTGACCTAGAAGCCTCCTCCCTAAAGACTAGCTTTCAGAGTTCTAGAGGACACTATGCAAGCTGCTAAGGGAGAAAACTCAATCAATGATCCCACCCAGCAGTAAAGCCTGATAACCACAATGACTGGCACAGCAAACTATCATTATTGGTGTAGTAGTAGTACTTTTACCTAGAAGGTAATCAACATTATCCAACTAAATTATCCAATTAAGCCCCTCTCAATGGGTAGTACTGTAAATATAGCCAAATAAACATGGCTGGAGAAGTGATCAATCCAGAGAAAACCCTATACCTGTCATATCTCTAGACAAATGAAATTTCTTACTGTATGATAAATTTGGATCCTTATATTTACAGACTAGTATACTGTATACCACTCATCAAAGAAGCTTCTTTTGCAACAGATAGAGGCTACTACAGAGTCCCACAACTGCTCACACACAGAAAATATATGTCTGAGAGATGCTCAGACCTCAGTGACACATCTACAGTGAAACCTCTATATCTAAGGCTCATGGAACATAGAAGAATATGGGGTAGAGAGAATACTAATACATTCCTAAACTCTCACTAGCAAAGTTTCCTCATACAACAAAGTGTGATGCACACAGAAGAACACAACTGGTTAAGTTTTAGTGAATAAGAGACTGTAGAGTGTGTGTCCCTGGATAGAATCCCTGTACTAAACTGTACCCACTCACAGATCAGGGGCTATTGTGGAAGAGGGTGCAGAAAACGTATAAGAGCCAAGATTGGTGCATGAACATAAGGAAAATGAGGCTTTCAGGACTCTGAGAACTTGCTCATATGAACTTGCAACAATAGTGACAACATGCATAAGACCCATGCCAACTCAATCAGACAAAAACCCAGCATAGAACTGGGGAAATGAGCAGCAGACCCCAACCCTAGCCAAGGAACTATTGATAAATGATTACTGTGGGGTGAGGGAGAGTAGATCTTCTTTAAGGGAGTGACTCTAGATATGCTGACTAGACTCCAGTGAATGAATTTGCACTGAGGGACATCTGCACACAAATGCTTGACTACATAAGACTTAACATATATAACAGAATACCTGAAATTTGGTGTGTGGGTGGGGCTATGGGGAAGGGGGAGGGAGTCTAAATTCAGCTAGGATCTATTATTTGTAATGCACAAAACCTCAATTCAAAAACTGAGGAAAATATTTTTTAAAATAACACAAAACAAAGAAAGAATTAGTTAAAATGTTTTGTAGCAGATGTATGATTATGGTCACTGTGTTAAACAAAATAATTGAAAGAAAAAAAATACTCAAAGTCAATGGCAGGTTATGATTTTGAAGTAGACCACTGGAGTTCACATCAAAGTCTTGTAGTTCACCTAGGGTATCTATGGTGAATCATTTGAAGTAGGACTTTCCCTTAGTAATTCAACAAATGGTTATTTTTTTATATTTAAAAAAGTTTTAGTTTTAATTATGTGTGTGTATGTGTGTGTGTGTGTGTGTGTGTGTGAGAGAGAGAGAGAGAGAGAGAGAGTAGGTGGCTTTGGATTCCATGGAGCTAGAGTTACAAGTGGTTAATAACTGCCACACAAGGCGTTAGAAACCAAACTCAGGGGGCTGGAGAGATGGTTCCATGGTTAAGAACACTGGTTGTTCTTGCAGAAGACCTGCGTTCGAATCCCAGAACCCACATGGCAGCTAACAACTGTCCGTAACTCCAGTCCTAGGGAATCCGACAGCCTCTTTTGACCTCTGAGGGCACTGCACAACATGGGTGCACTTACCTACATGCAGGCAAAGTATGCATACACATAAAATAAAAGATTTAAAAAAATTTAAAGTTTTGTTTAAAAAAAAGCAAAAAGAACGAAGCTCAGGTCCGCTAAAAGAGCGCTGTGTGCTCTTAAACACATCTCTCTAGTCCCAACAAATAGTTATTGATCCCCGACTTGATAGCAGATCCAATCTGAGTGTTCATTAGCAACTTCATCATTTCTAAGGTCAAAGCACCACCTATTTTACCTTTCTAACTTTCTTCTCTGTAGTAATAAAAGAAAAAGTTCATGATTGGTTGAGAAGCAACTCCCTCTTACCTCACCAATAACAGGACCCCCGTCCACAAATAAGCATCAACTTGGGCAGAGGAAGAACTTGTCTTCTTGTCTCCCTAAGCATAATTTTCAGAATCATCTGATTTCCATTATTTTCAGGGAAAACTTAAATTAGCAAACGTAAATTATATATATGGTTGGGAGCACTTCAGTACAAAACATAATGAAGTGCTAAATTTGTAAATTTTGCATGAGTACCTGTGAGACCCCTTTTGCTACATGGCACATGAAAAACTGACAAGATGGAGTGGGCAAAGCTTTGTTAAAAGAGAATATTTAGAGAAAACCCTATCTCTGGTATATCTCTAGACAAATGAAATGTCCTACTGTATGACAAATATGGATCCTTATATTTACAGACAAGTGTACTGTACAGCACTCATGAAGAAAGCTTCTTTTTGCAGTAGATGGAGACCATTACAGAGTTCCACAACTGGTCATACGCAGTGAATATATGTCTGAGAGACACATCTACAGTGGAACCTCTACACCTAAGACTCATGGACCATAGCAGAACAGGGAGTAGAGAGTATACTAGTACACCCCTCAACTCTCAACAGTGAGCTTCCTCATACAACAGAGTGTGATGCACACAGAAGGACTTAGAAAATGAGGCAGAGTGTGTGTCCCTGGATAGGACTCCCATATTAAACCTCACACATCCACAGTTCAGGACCGTTATGGAAGAGGGGGTGGAAAGATTGTAAGAGGCAGGGTTGGTGCATGAACATCAGGAAAGAGAGGCTTTTAGGCCACTGGGAACTTGCTCATACAAACTTGCAACAAGGGTGACAGCATGCACAAGACCCATGCCAACTCAATCAGACAAAAACCCAGCATTGAACAAGGGAAATGGGAGCAGGCCTCAACCTTAGCTGAAGAACTATTGGCAACTGATTACTGCTGGGTGAGGGAGAGTAGATTGTCTATAAAGGAGTGACTCTCAGTAGGCTGACTAGACTCTAGTGAATGAACTTGCACAGAGGGACATTTGGGTACAAAAACTTGACTGGATAGTACTTAACATATATGAGCAAGTGCATGAAACCCAGTAGGGGGCTGTGGAGGGTGGGGGTGTGTCTAAATTTTATTAAGATCTACTATATAAAATGAACAAAACTCAATAAAAATATTTTTAAAATAAAGGAGAATGTTTAGGGAGCTATTCTACCATGAGAAATAACCCCAAATAACAGTGGCTAGCTCAAGGAAGATCAGTTCATAGGTTAGGAAACGATGACACTATCTATCTGTCTGTCATTTAAACATTAACCTAATGGTATTGTCAAGAGAATATTTAGAGAGATTTTTTCTATCTGGGCTTACCCACGCACAGTCCAAAAGAAGAGTGCCACTAAACCGTTCCATTAACTACTAACCTACAGTAATCAACTTTCAAAGAAAGACCTTTCATTTAAAAATATTTGATCAAAAACAATGCAAAACCAACCAACAAACAAAAAAGCTGGGCATGGTAATGATGTCCTTGATCCTAGCACTCAGGAGGCAGAGGCAGGAGGATCTCTATGAGTTGGAGGCCAGCCTGGTCTATCTGGTAAGTTCCAAGCCAGCTAGAGTAACATGTGAGCTCCTGTCTCAAAAAACTCTTCGAGGACTCTCCATCAATCATATATTATTCACTCATTTGAATAAATAGCTAGAGTCAAATATTAAATTTATCAAAGATTTATCAAAATAATAAGGAAGAGAGTGAATGGTCTTACCAGTTGCCTTTTGAGTTTATAAACTGCTGTACTGCATAGCCAAACTGTTCACTTGAAGGGCCGGAAAATATTTTTGCTTCTGGGAGGCCAACATTGTATGCCAAACAACTTAAGATGCCTATGAAAAAAGTAAAAAAACACAGTCCATATTTAGAATTTTTCAGTGTGGACGCATGGTATAATTGTTAAAGATCATTGAAATACATTTGTTTGACCAGATAATTATTCTTCTTATCAGTATTTACCAAGAAATACTACAGCTACATCTAAAGTATTTACGTGGCTCCCAGAACCATGGCAAATACTTCATACGCATGATTTATTAGCGTAAATAACATCACAGAACCCTCAGGAGTTGGTTGTCAGTGGTGTTCCTGCTTGACAGAGATTTCTGAAGTCCCAGGTAGCAAGTGTATTTCACATGCACAGTGGTAAGGGTAAGGTCAGGATTTGAATGTAAGACTGGCAGATGAAGAAGTCATGCTCTTAAATGACTGCACTCTCTCTAAGGATAATGAAATAAGTTCAATTCTATTTGCCCTTCCTTACAGACTAAGACTCTAAGCCACTCATACACAGGGCCCGAAGGGTGCCTAGTTCTCGACATGGTCAAGGGAGAAAATTCACAACCCTTGAAAACTATCATTTTCTTTCAGAAGAGAGCATTTTGTAGGATAAAAGTTAGGGAAAGGTGTGTTATAGACCAAAAATACTTTTATCTTTACATTTTTCTTCCTTAATGATCAAGAAATGGCAATTATTATTTTACAAAGAACGGAGACCACATCTGGAGAGATTTTTTTTTTTAATTCTTGTTTCTGATGGAGAGGGACAGAAGAGTAAGGCTAATCATATCTCCTTTGGCATGGAAAGCATTATGATGCTGTGAGGCCTTCACTCTGTAGAAAGAGGGCTTTGTGGGTTATGATGTTTTCAGTCAAGATGAGAGTGTCTCTCCTGGCATCAGTATTTATCTTTGCAGACTTGAAGACACTGGACTCTTCAAAATCAGTGTCACAGTCACATGAAGAGCACCTATTTTCACAGAGTAAGATCCCACTTTCAGGACTGCATTGAGGCCACAAAGCATTACAGAAGGCTGTCATTCCAGGCAAGGAAAACCTGGATGGAAATGACTTGTTCCACCAGCGGTACTTCTGAACTTGTGGGAAGAGATTCTATAGCATGTTCCAAAGGAAAAATGAAGTCAGTGATGGAGCTCTGGGGAGTCGAAGTAGTCAGTGTGCCTTTCTAAGTGCCAAAGCACTCTACTGGGTGTTTGCTCACTCAAGAACGCCCAGCTCATTATTTCTTAGAAATACATGCTTGCCAGGAAGAGAAGTGTAAATATTAATTTTGAAAGACTCTGTAGCATAGTTTGCATAGCTCAACATTTGCAAATTTGACCGTTAATGCCTGTTTTACACAGGATATCACTGTTCCTTTCTACTTTGAAGAAATATAATACAAAATAGCACAGCAGATTAAGCATAATACCACAACTGGCATTCAGAATACTGGTGTTTCTAATCCAGACTTCATCTTCACTGTATTGCACAGAACTTAGTAAATAGTATTTGAATATTTACCAGTTATTAAATATACTAGTAAAAGTTTGGAAAGATGACGCTAAACTGTTGTCACATTAGAAATATCTAGCACTAAAAAGAACGTAGGTAACTGTATATAGAGTCATGCTAGCCTCCCACTCTTATGGCAAAAAATCATGATGGAGTTCATTTTGTTATTTAATGTTAGATTTTACTATATAGTGTGTTTATAGTCATAACTCATTAATAGAAGGCATATATCTTAAGAAATTGTTTAGTGATTTTGTTATTGTACAATTTTAAATGCGTACAAACAAGCAAGAGCATGATGATGTCCTTGGGTGACATAATCTCAAGGAACACCCTACTTTATGTTATCAATTTTTGATGTTTTATCTATTAAAATGTTGTCATATAGTATATGCCTGTAGCATATATGTATTCTTAAATATGTATACATGTGTATTGTAATCAATTTACAAATAAGGAAAGTGGAGTTCCCTTTATCTATCAATCTATTTGTAGTACATATGAACATGTTAGACAACGTTGTTAAAAATATGAGATCATTCCATTTCCCTGCTGAAAATACCCCAAGGTATTTGACTTTGTTCAGATGGCCTCTGTTCTCCTAATAGGGAGCTTCTTGACCCCTCTATCTAGTAGCAATACCCTACTCAAACACGGTGCCACTCTCATGGCAATTACCCCCAATTATCTCATGTGTATATTGCTTGACATCTGCTTTTGTCTACTAAAATGCAGGTTCCTTGAGAGACCAGATCTGGATTTTATTTACTCTTATTTTCTCAGAACTTGACATCTGCTTTTGTCTACTAAAATGCAGGTTCCTTGAGAGACCAGATTTGGATTTTATTTACTCTTATTTTCTCAGAACCTGAGATTGCGTGTGTGTGTGTGTGTGTGTGTGTGTGTGTGTGTGTGTGTTATGTATGTATGCATGCTGGTGTACAGGCTCATGTGCATTTGGAGATCAGAAGAGGATACTGAGTGTTCTGCTCTATCAGTTCCTTGAGACAGGATCTCCTACTGAACCTGTAGCTGGACTGGCAGCCAGAGACCCCCCAGCATCCTTCTATCTTTATCCCCCACTTGGGGGAACTGATGCTACAGTGGGATTTACATTGGTTTTATGTGGATGCTAGGAATTTGAACTCAGGGCCTCATGCTTATACAGCAAGTTCTCTTACCTACTAATCCACCTCTCTGGCCCCAGCACCTAAGATAACATTCATTGAATAAGATACATTTTAAATTAATTGTATTTATCAATGGTGATTTGGAATATTAAAAGCATATTTTGTGCATGTTAAGAGGTTTATTGATTTCTAGTAATCCAAAAGATTAATTCTTAATAGTTTCCCAAATGTCCAATACAAGGGTACTGAGTACACAAATTGCAGCATAATAACTAGATGGAATTTTGCATTGTTATTAAAAAACAATGATTGTGAAGAATATAAGATTGACAAAAATGCTCAATGAAAACAAAATATAAAATGATTTTCAAGATAGAAGGAACATGTTGAAACTCTATAAAATATAAATATAGTAACCATATAATTGTGAATGTAATTGGCTGCCTTCTAAATTTCTTATAGTGTATTATGATAGTCTTGAAATGAGTAAAATTCAGGATAAAAATAAGAAAAATACTGCTTTTCACATTCTTCACTAGTAGAACTATCAACATGAGAAGTTTTACTTCAACCTCATCAGTAGGGTCTGATCTGATCATCACACCCATGAAAATATCATTGGTGACACGTAAAGAGTAAATCTGGTCCACTGGGGTGGCTTTACTCTTAGTTTCATTTGCTAGGTATGACTTGAGAATAGGATCTCTTTAAGGCCAGTGTGTTGCAAAGGGCACTGGTTATATGCCTTTCATTTCAATATCTGAAATACCCTCATAACGACTCTTCAATTCTATGAACATCTCTATAATATGTGTATATAAATTTATTCACATTCTGTGTTCTCCAGTTTTCTCCCTGATGCTATGGTTATGGTCACTCCATTCACAACTATCCATAATGCAAAACTGATGAATGTATTCATACATGTGTTTATTAAACAAACTTTATTTTTCATTTGTTTAACTTTTATGTAGTTAACAGTTATCATGGGACAGGATCTCTTTTTTTAAAGTTATTCACAGAAAGTATGCTCTGGACATAACATCATGATGTGCAAGGAGCTGTTCTCTGCTCCTGACAACTTCTGCAACGTCTAAAGAACCAGGGCTCCCAGACACAAACGATCATGGGAGAGCTCTCAGGCATAGCACACTACAGGAGAGCTCAGGCTCCCCCTCCCTGAAGGAGCAATATCCTGTTGTCAAAACTCATGAAGAGCTGGACTTCACAATTCTCAAGTTGTTAGTCACTTTTTAAAGGAGGCATTTTTTTCTGCTTCAAATACCAACAAACCTATGCAGGAATGGACTAGAGTGAATCTGATAACTCAGTGTTAAAACCATGCTGCTCATGTGCATATGTTTTATTAGTAACTTAGAGAACTATAGATGAGTCATGTCCAAGAAGATACTACTGGGTCTGAGGAATTGAACTCAGGTCTTCTGCAAGAGCAGCCAGTACTCTTAACAGTTGAGCCATCTCTCCAGCCCCAGATATTATTTCTAACACAAGCAGTTTTATGTTTTCTTTAAAAAAAATAATTTATAGCCTGGTGTGGTGGCTCATGCCTTTAGTCCCAGCACACAGGAAGCAGAAGCAGGAGGATCTCTGTGAGATCAAGGCCAGCCTAGTCTACATATAGAGTCCCAGGCCAGCTGGGGCTACAAGGAGACCCTGTCTCAAAAAAAACAAAAAACCTTTAAAAAATAATAAAACCTTTTTATTTTCATTTGTGTATGTGCACACACATGTGTGTATATGTGTGTATGTGCAAATGTGTGCCAATTCCTGAGGTCAGAAGAGGGCACTGGATCCCCTGGAGCTGGAGTTACAGGTGGTTGGGAATTACCCACACGGTGCTGGGGACCAAACTCCTGTCCTCTGTAAGAGCCGTACATGCTCTTAACCACCGAGCTATCTCACCAGTCCAAATTTATGTTTTCTAGGATGTTCTTTGGGTTATTCAAAAGGCATATGGTTTGAGGAGATCTTTAAGCACAATGACTAACTTAAGTAGAGTTAGCATCCAAGTAGTAATGTTTAAAAATAACAATATTAGAAAGCAATAAATACTGACATTTAAGACATAATTATTTCTCTTTCTCCTTTAAAAATAAAAATAGGAGTTTTTTTTTTTTTTTTTTTTTTTTTTTTTTTTTGGACAGGGTCTCCCTTGTGCCCCC